GGAGCAATTATACGAATTCGTAAAAGAAAGACCAGGCTTAGCAAAACTACTCAAGGAAATCCTGTGGGTAGACCAAGCAACCACAGCAGACATTAACTGGGCTCGCCACCAGGACGACACTGCCTTGAAGTCAGCTCAGCCACCACAGTGAATAAGGTAAAACACGCTTCCAAGACGGCGCCAAAGCTATCGCTCCACATGATCATTAAGTAAGAGGAGGAACTGATGTGGCTACAAAGCATTCTAACGGAGAGCACGGCAGGGCGAGCTCAAGAGACAGCAGACTGTGTCAGCTCTGGGAAGAAATCAGTACTCGGGTAACCTTAAGGAACATGCATAAGCTTCCTCAAAATAAAAAAGGGGGAGCTCACAAAGACCGAGTGAACAGTAGAACAACAACAAAGGGGTCAAAAAAAGACCAGAAGAACCACAAACAAAACAAACTCAGTACAATATCACCCCTCCAAAAAACCCGGCAAAACGACAGCAGTAAATTCATAGCTATCGAATAACAACACTGAACGTACATCGAGCCAGCACACCAGGCAAGAGACTGCGGCCCGCAGAATGGACACGAACCTGGCCCGTCCCTGACTCCTGACAAGAAACACACCTCAGACACCAAGACAGAAGCAGTCTAAAAATCACCGCGGGAACGAACGACAGCAAGCGAATGACCGTTTTAAAACGGAGCATGCTGCTACTTCTCTTTGATAGAATGGGCTTCTGTTAGGCTAGGCTGTGTCGCTAGAGAAACCAGCCCACTCATCTATGTACAAGAAAGGCTTTTATACTAAGAAGCAACTTTACATCCGGAGGCATGCCGGTCCAATCCAACTCGAGTCCACAGACCTGCTGCGAGCGGAGCCTCTTTCCGACCCACGGAGCCGCCGGGCCCACGGACAGAGACGTGAAGCACCATCAGGGAGACCCTCTAACACAGCTTCATCCAGCACCGGGGGCCCTGGTGGGGCGCCGGTAAGTACTTGGCTGCTCACGGATAGGTCAGCAGTTTGGATCCCCTGGCAGCTCCACGGGAGAAAGAGGAGGCCGCCTGCCTCCGTGAACATTACAGGCTCGGACACGCTGTGGGGCAGTTCTGCTCTGTCCTACGAGCTTGCTGCGTCCGAGTCAACTCAATGGTGGTGGGTTTTGTGGATGATCCGATGCAGGCCCCCCGGGTGGCAGAGCAACTGGCTGCTAACCGGGCTGTCCATGGTTGGCACCCGGCAGGAGGAAATGGGGCGGTCCTCTGCGGTCACAATCACAGTTCTTCTCTGTCTCAATGGACCGGGTGGGAATTGCTCACTGCTGACGGACGCACAGTGACCCTATACAGCCAGGGAAGAACGACTCCCACGGGCTTCCAAGACCAACTCTTCACAGGAGTGGCAAGCCTCACCATTCTTCTGAGAAGCCACGGAGCCACTGGTGGTTTCCACCCTGTGCCAGCCTGACCCCGCCAGGGCTCTCAATGCAACGCCAAGGGGCATCGCAAAAATTCGTTCTTTCGAGGGAGTTGTGCAAGGTGCAGAGGTGGAGCTGCACGTCTGACCTCATCCAGGGAGGGAGGGGATCAGAAGGGCAGGGTCCCCCAGGAGGTCTTCCTCCAAGACTCCACAACACACACAGAGCAGAGGTGGAGCGCAGCTCCTGCCGGCTGCCTCCCCTCCCCCAGGAGACCGCTCAGGAGGGAGAGAATGAGTCTCACGGAATGGTCCTGGCTCTGCCCCGACTAAAGTGCATCAGACCTCTCCCCAAACCCCCTGCCAGCGAGTAGATGCCGACTCATGACAGCCCAACAGGGTAGAGAATGCCCCTGGAGGGTGCCCACGGCTGTCATCTTTACAAAAGCAGACGGTCTCACCTTCCTCCTGTAGAACAGCTGGTGGCTTCGAACCACCCACCTCTGAGGTCGTGCCCCTGCTGCTTAACCCCCCACGCCACCCGGGTTCCTTTTCAGAGCCCACAGCAACCCATCGTTTCTGAGGTGACTTTGTGGGCTTTGCTTCCAAGGACCTGGAAGCCCCAGAGCCAGGGTCGCTGGCAGGTCTCCTGGTCCAGACTCGGGTCATTGGCACTGTGGGCCACACTGACACCTGGCTGACAGCCCACCTTTCTGGGGCTCCACACACATCCCTAGCTACCCTTCATCCTCACGCAGCTACCGCAGCAGCTAGTTAGGCCCAGGGGGGCAGGACGGTGGTGAGAAGGGAGTTCTGGCATGGGAAGAGCAGGCGCGAAGGCTCTGTGGTGGTGGTGTGCTGGGGGGTGGGGACTGAAGGGAAAAGTGGTCGTGGGCTCCGATGAGTATGTGATGGGTGGAAGCCAGAGATGCCCCAGGGGTCTGATCAAGCAAGGTCTTCCGCAAACAACTAAGAGGTTGAATGGGAGGTGAGTGATGAGCTTGAATTCCAAGTGGGTTCTCAGCCACTGAGGTAACAGCCTTGCCCTTCCAAGCTGGCACTCTGTCTGCAAACAGCGATGAGGGGGTGAGGTGGGAGGGAAGGCTGAGCTCTGCTCTTTGGGGGCTCACCTTTCTGTTCACCAGCCCGATGATGGCCGCCCGCAGCCGCATCTGCAGGAGCTTCAGCCTATACACGTGCTGCTGCTCAAACAGAGTTTGCAGGCAGGCACAGAGGAACATCAGCACCACCAGGAGGTAGCCCTTCCAGACGGGTGCCTTGGGGTCCCCAATGAACTCCAGGAACAGGCTGGGGGGAGGGCAAGGAAGACGGTACAGCTGGTAAGAGGTTCCCTTACTGAAGCCTGCCCTTGTGTGGAGGGTCCGTGTGGGAGACCGTTGGCTAACATGGCTTCAAGGACACACCCCCCCTCCCCTGCATATCCCCTTTCAATATGACTTTGCAGCTCCTCATACTAAGAGGTGGAGTTTCTGTTCCTCACCCCTCCAATCTGGGCTGCTTGGCCAGACCAGCTGAGGCCAACAGAATCTAGTAGAAGTGACAATGTGCCAGGTGCAAGCCTAGGCCGAAGAGAGCGAGCAGCGTTGACTCCATCGCTTAATGCCCTGCCAAGCCAACGTTGCAACAGGCTTAAGCTGAGCCAGGTGCGAAGGGGGCCTCGGAAAAAGCCAGGCTCCAGCCAACCCAGCTGCCCACTGACCTAAGGGTGGGCACAGCCAGGGCCAGAAGAACAGTGCAGCAGAGCCCAGCCCAGATGCTGTCCCAGGTCATCGTAGGTGAACAACGACATAAACGTGTGTTGTCTGAAGCTTCGGACCTTGGGGGTTGTTTGTCACCCAGGGTAAGCGGACCGATGCAATCAGGCCGGAGGCAACCCATTTCATTTCCCCCTCCCTCTGGATGCTTCCCACCCCCTCCCGCTGGTGCCCTCTGCTTAGAGGCTCTGAAGACAGAGAGCCGGTGGAGGGCACAAGCAGAGCTGAAGCCTGGTCTCTTTGAAGGGGCAGCTGGCCTTAGCAGGACCCCCAAGGTCTGAACCCACCTGAGGAGCTTGGGTACGGTGAACCTGAAGATGTCACCAATGAGCAGGCTGAGGGTGCCCAGGAGGAAGGCAGAGCGGTACACACGCCACATGGCAGCCAGCAGGGGGCCCCTCTTGCTCCCTTCTTCCTGGAGGAAGGCCTCTGCCTCCTGGGCCTCTGCCCTGCTGCCTCCTTTCCATCTAAATGCCGCCGCCTGGGTGTACCTTAAGGAAAGGAGAGACCAGTCTATGTACCCTCGCTGGTGGCAGCTGCCTGACAGCAGTAGGACCAGACAGTCAGGGTCCCTTTCCCAGCCAAGGGGATGGGTGTGCATGCCTGGAACCAGCCTTGCTCCCCACCCCATTCTTCTTATCAGAGGAAACCCGTTGTGTCATCTCGTTTTTTTTTAACCGCGGTGACAATCCACGTAGCAGCACACTCAAGCACACAGCCACATGGGTTACTGCTTTCTGTAGGTGGTGCCACCTTTGTTTTGTTTCCCCAAGATGTTCTCCTACCGCTCACAGAAACGCAAATGCTCCCCCAGCAAAACATTCTCCTTTTAGCCACCTTGCGCCTTTGGCACACACACAGAACCAAATTTATTGTCACGGGGTCCTACGCAACCCCATAGGACAGAGTAGAACTGCCCCATAAGGTTTCTGAGACTGTCAACCTTTCTGGGGGCAGACAGCGTCGTTGTGAGTGGCTGGTGGGTTCCAGTTAGCAGCCCTTTTGGTCCCCAGCAGAGTGCTTTAGCCTCTGCGCCTCCACAGCTCGGAACCAGGAATGATCTTCGGTTTCTGTATAGTTGCGTATTCATGGCTGAGGACCAGCCTGCCAGGGGCTATGAGCTGAGGTGACTACAGGTCAGAAGTATGAGCCTGTTCCGGCAAATATGTGCTGACTCCCAACCCCTGAAACTGTGGATGGACTTGGGAACGGGGCTTCTTTGTTCTGTGTTCTGAGAAACATGTCGATGCATTGTGGGTCCTAAATCTAATCACTTCCACGTTATAAGCATCTGAGAAGAGAGCACAGAGTTGGGGCATGGTGGAGAGGGGGTGGTGGGTGCCATGGTGCCCTGTGGGTTGGGGTGGTGCTGTCACCCCTCTCTGGGTCCCTCCCAATTCTGACACCCAATGGCGCTGGGCAGGCACTGCAGTTAGCCCTTTCCTGGAGCGTTTTAGCTCCTCTAGATCTCCTTGTCACTAGACTTCACCAAACTGAAGAAGACACTGGGGGTCCGAGAGGTGGGGATAGCTGCCACACAGTGAGCGGCAGAGCAGGGACTGGAGCTCAGGGAAGCCCTCTCCATTGGTCTCTGGCCTCACACATTCAAAGGACCAGAGAGTAAGAGTATGGCAGGTATTAGTGGGAGTGGACGAGGGGGTGGAATACAAAAAGTGGGTGAGGACTAGCGGAGATGACAAGCACAGGTCCCGTCCAATGGGGTAACCTCCATCCAGATCCTGCCTCCTGTTGCCAAGCAGGGAGGAGGGCCAGCACTGCCGGATCTGGTTCAAGTCAGAAACCTCAGTGATTTTTTTAGTTTGTTTGTTTTTAGGTGAAATCTCCCAACTTCGAAATGTTGACAACTTACTAAATCCCAATAATCACAGTAAACCACCCAGGTGGACCAAACAGACCTCATGGACCTGATTTGGCCAGCAGGTGGTTGGCCCGTGGTCTCTCCAATGCCCAGCCGCCCTCTCCCTTCCCCTCGGGGGTTGTAACATTTCTCAGAAAGAAAACCAAAGTCCTCCCTGTGTGTGGTCAGCCCGCCGGGAAAGTGGCCGACAGGGTGGCCCTTGGCCTCATTTTGCCTTTCACCCTCATTTCCTCCCACCGACTCTCTGTGGGAGCCTCAGCCACGTTCTGGAGGGTGCTTCTGTCTGTCTGTCCCCACGTTACACCCACGCCCAGCTCACCGCCGCCACTGCGTCCACGGCTCTAACTCTCGGGCTGGCCAGAGGGGTCAGCAGCTGGGCGCAAGGTGCCCGAGCCCCCGGCTGAGTTTGGGATGAATTTCGCCTCTGGGAATCGTGGACGCTGCTAGCGGAAGCTGCTGTTTCGGTTTGCTGACGTCACTTCCCTCCTTTGACAACAGCGCCCCCTTCCTTCGGGGATCCGTCCTTCGTCCTAGCTCATGTGGCCCGCCAATCGTGTGGCGGGTGCTCCTGCCTCCAGCCATCTGATTGGCTCCTGAAGGCGTAGGACTCAAGCCAGACCAATCACAACCCTTCCCTGGGATTTTCTAGGTAGCTGCTCCCAGAACGTTGTGCCACCTTCTCTCTTACTTTTTCCATCTAACGTCTGGGATCCAGGTATCCGGAACACGCACATCAAAATCCTAGTGTGTGCAGAAGAACCTCGGAACTCTTCTTCCTACAGAGCTAAGGGATTGTTCAGTCCCCTGAAACACAGGTCCAGTGAGGTCAAGCGGTCCAGGGTCATTCCCTACTCTCTGGCAGGACAGCATTTAACCAGAGACTTACCTGGTCGACCTTGAAGGCTCCTTTCTCTAGACTGATGGCTCTCACAGTGGGCCCTCAGACACCGAGGAGCCCATCGAGATGGTCAGTGTGCCAGAGGGCAAGATGAGAGATTTTGTCTGACCTCCTGGTTGGGTAAGTTGTGCCTGGGTTTTAATAGCTCACAAGCAAAGACCCGAGATCCCAAAATTGTTCTCCATTTGCCTGGGACAGCAGAGGCAGAAGGACTACGGGCTTCACATTGTCCTTTGACTAGAAATTCTCTGGTCCATTAGCACGAGGCCAGAAGAAATGGTGGCGAGCCGCTATCATTACTGAATGTTTTCGTGAAGGACCCTATAGATGGCTCCTGATCAAAAGGAGGCAAAGTGTGGAATAGGAATTCAAACTCACATGGAAACCAGAGTTCCTGGTTCTTTTGAGACTGGGGGAAGCCCTGAATCAGATGCCCATAAATAATCTTTAAACCTTGAGCCCAAACAATCCCACAAAGCCATCGTCAAATCATCATTTAGTCTAAAAGATAATGGGTGCTTGCCTCAAGTCTAGCGCTCTTGTAAAGCGTTAGCTATGTGAGTGCCCACTGGTAACAGTTATTCCAAAGTGCAGGTGAGCATGTTGAGGGGTCTCTATGGTCTAAGTGGGTGGTGATGCCACGCTCTTGGTGTAGACAGTTTGGAGTCTCTAACCCATGTCACTGAACTGTTCATGTAGAAATTGTGAGTGGATCTATGTTTGGTTGTGTATAGGCCCACCCAGAGTAAATAACACGTTAGTTTTAAAAAGGAACTGAAATATCATTTGTAAAAATGGTAGAAAGACAAAACAAAAGAATGAACAGAGTTTCCAGAGCCCTAGAAAGAGGGTGCAAACCTCAGAATAACTAGCACACTGAGCTCTCTGCCCGCCAGGAATATGCTGGGTCCTTTCCTATGAATTGTCTTTTTTTTTTTTTTCCACATCCCATAGACAATGAGACAGAGCTCATGACATTCCCCCTGGACGGATGAGAAAGCCAAGAATAGTTATAGGCTGCAAGTTACATACCACCCAATTCCCCACCCCCAATCTTAAAATACCCCTCTGTCTCCTGCCCGAAGGATCCCTAGTGGTGGAGTGGGTTAGTGGGAGAAATATGAGCCTTTTTGCTCCTGTAAAGATTACAAGTCTCAGAAACCCAAAGGGGCAGGTCTACGCTGTCAGAATTGACCCCATGACAGCGGGTCTTCAGTTGGGTCTCCTGTCCGTCACCTACCAGCATGGCTTCCTCCTGACGCTTTAAGAAAACTCGCTGCCATGGTGTGGATGCCCTCTAGGGCAGGGTCAAACTGCCCCTGTGGGTTTCTGGGACGGTAACTGTAACTCCTGACAGGAGCACAGTGCCTCCATTTCCTCCTGTGGAGCAGCTGGGGGGTTTTGAATGGCTGACCTTGTGGGCAGCAGCCCAGCTAGTAATCACCACCGGGAATCCTGTCCTTAAAGACTGTGAACAGAGCTGTATGTGGAACCGGCCCTGGGGGGCTGCTGAGTGGGCAGGGGCATGCAGAGGAGGGCTGGGGGTGAAGTGGGGACCAGATGGGGCTCCAACACCGGGCTGAGCCCTGACTGCCACGTGCTCACCTGGCCCTGCTCCTTGTCCATGCCCTTTCGAGCTGGGAAACAAGTTCTTCTGAGGAGTTTTCTTTTCCAAGTGCCCAGAGATCTTTGGGTTCCAGTGGCTTCTTATAACCTCTCCAGACCAGCCTGTAAAAGAGGGTCATCAGGGGCAGGAAGCCCCTCTTCCATCTGCTCCTCCCCACCCGCACAAAGTCCTCTCTGTAGCTATGTGGCCCCGGGCCAGTCTCTTCTCTCTGCACCTCTGCTGTCCCCTCAATGAAATGAAAGCTGACACATGAAGACACTTCCCAGCTTACAGGAGCCCGGGTGGTGTCGTGGTTATGGGTTGGGCTGCTAATTGCAAGGCCAGCAGTTCAAAACCATCAACTGCTCTAAGGGGAAAAGATGAGGCTTTCTAGTCCCATAAATAGTACTAGTCTTGGAAATCCACCTGGGCCATTCCACGCTGCTCTGTGGAGTTGCTAGGAGCCAGGAGTGGACTTGATGGGCTGGGAGTGGGTCTCGGTTTACAAGGAAGCCAGGCACAGGAGTGGGGTGGGAGTCAGGCCCTCAGCTGCTCACTGGAAGGTCTCAATGGTTTGAACCCACCAGCCTCTCAGTGGGAGAGAGAGAGGTCAGCCTAGGAAGCCTGGCGGGGACGTCTCAGTCTGTCCTACGCATTCAACAGGAGTCAAATCAGCTCAACAGCAGGAGGTTTGGGTTTCCTCCGTTTACCAAGATCACTGTAGTTCATCCTCACGTGAGCCCGGAGTGTTCGCCTTCATCTTACTGTGAGTGGCCATTGGGAGCCACTGAGTTGGGACAAAGTAAGGACACCCCACCCGGTCCCGCACCATCCTTGGCGTTGTCCTTATGTTTGAGTCCCTTGTTGCAGCTCAGCTCATACATGAGGGGGACACAGGCTCAGAGTGACTGGGGTCTAAGGTGCAACTATTGGCCTTGCCCCGTCCCGATGAAAGGAGAGTGGAGAAAACCGAAGATGTAATGGACAAGTGGACGACATGACCATCAGTCTCCACAACTCTGAGACCCGAAGAACTAGAGGGGGCCTACCTCCCATGACCAGCTCCTCTGAAAGGGGTCACATGAGAAGGTTCTGGAGAGATACTGGCAGAACCTGGCCTTCAGCTACCTTTCTGGCCTGGAGCTGAACTCATCCCCTTGGCACCAATTCCAGGTCAATAATAACAGGTCTATAAGGGGAGATGATGACATTAGGGGGGTGTACACACCTTAGAATAATCAAGATTTAAGATTTAAAGGGCAGCCTTTATCCAAGGACCCAGTCCAGAAGGTGTGGTAGTTACATCATCTGATGTCAGTTTGGGATTTGAGAGGATTAAGACTGAAGGGGTGGAGTCTAGTCTGTCAATCAGGTCACAGCCAATGAGGCCTCTGTGTGGGCATGGCCTTCTCCTGAGAATTCTGGGAACTCCTGTATTTCCTCTAGGAGGCAGGAGACACACTCTCTCTTGGCTGACCCCCTTGGAGATATTCTACTGACAAGACACATGGCACTACCTGATAGACTTCATGCCCTGGGAACTGGAGAAGTCACATGGACCTACCCTGATGCAGCCCTGAGTGCTGGAGAAGCCACATGGAGACCCCTGCCACCGCTGAGATGCTTACAATGCCACTGGATCCACAAGACTTCCCACCACTGGCCTGTGACCTTCCTATTGTTGCATGTGTTTCATGAGTCTGAAGAGGACTTTATAGATTGGAATCAGCCAGATGGGCCAATACTGCACTTATGAACTTGATCTGGACTGGGCTGGGATGTTTTCTCAATATTCAATTACTCTTGTATTCAATTGAACCTCTTTCTCACATCCATATGCGTGTTTATGAATTTGTCCCTCTAGTCTACCTGGCCTAACACAGAAGGGTTAGGAAAGAAGGGGGAATGTGAACAGGAGAGATGAGGAGAAGCGGGGGGTGTGAGGGTGCATCATGAGGATCACAACGAATGACGAGAAGCAGATTTGTACCAATTGTTGTATGGAAAACGGATCTTTGCTGCACACCTTCGCTCAACCCACGATCAAAACTTCCCAGAGCAAAACAACAAAGGACAGGCTCAGCGGTTACACAAAGGTGAGTGGCGATGCCTGGCCAACCTCAGTCAGTTTGGGGGCATCTCTGGATGGGGCTGGGGAGAGCTGTGTCGAGGAAGGCAGGCAGCAGGCCCAGGTGGATGTGGACACATTCTAGCCCCAGCCCTACCACTGCAGCACTTACTTACCCAGAAACCCACCAGAACATGACCCTGGAGGGGAAGGAGGCCCCCGCCTCTGGACATGGATTCTGGAAAAGAACAAGATCAAGGACAGGGAAGAGGGGGAGGCCTGGGTCTCCCATTCCAAGGTTAGCGTGTGGCCGGGGGAACAAAAGGTATGGAAAGAGGATGTATGAGCTATAAGCTTATCATCCAAAAGGCACATGGAAGTGCTCTGAGCGGCACACCATGGGATTGAGACTTCCTGGCAGGGAGGGCCAATAGGGATGGGGTCACGGGGCTGACAGTGTCCACAGGTCAGAACTAAGTACCGAGACCAACTATGTTAATACTGGGGCCGAGACACCATCCAAGGAAGGGTCACCGGCAACAGAGCCAACACCATGGCCAACGCCCCAGCGCGTGCCACGTGGTGAGCTCTGCTGTGGTGGTGTCTCCGCTGTCCTCAGGGCCTGCCCTGTGTGTTCAAAGGGTCACGAGGGCCGCCACTTCCCCCCCTCTGCCCCCCAGCCCGTTACCCATGTTTTAGGGGACAAAGGAGGCCCCGCCTCTCAAATATAATTTAACGAGAATCTTTATGAAGTTTCAAAAGAGGAAAAGACAAGATGAAGGTGCATCTTCCGGAGGAGGGAGACCCTTAGCACCAGGTCGTAATGGTGTCCAAGGGCTTATAGCGGGAGGGCAGCGGAGGGCAGAGGACACAGCCATCTAGGCAGGATGGGTAGCAGTTCAACATGTGCGACCAGGATTGGGACACGGTGCCAGAGGAAAAGCTGAAGCTCGACTCAATGCCGTGCAGAGGGGCTTACAAGACCGGTCCAGGGCCTTCTGATCAAGACCGTCAGGGTATGACTCATGACGGGAGGACCCAATGGGGCAGTCTTTATCAAAGGCACAGCCAGGCAAGCCCTGGCTTGAGGGTGCCCCTCATTGGTCTAGTGATGGGGGGCTGTGGGAACCCCCCATGCAGTCTGCATGGGGGCAAGCCTGTTTACGTTCCAGGTGGGTAGTCAGGAGGCGTTCAATGGAGGCTTGGTCTGCAAGTGGATTTTACCTGCAGCCCTTGTAAATCTGGTGTTCAGAATTTAAGCTTTACCGCATCTGTTCTGAAACTTAGCTGACATCCATCATCCTAAAACAGACGGCCAATGAGGACTTTGATTTGATGGCTTGAACGGTCAGGATCTCAGCAGGGGGAGCTTCTTCAGAAGGCCTCTCCTCGTTCCTCAGACTAGTTCAGGGTTACCTGTTGTTCCTCTCTGGACTGTGAATTCGCCTTCAGGGCACTCACCTCAGGTGTGTCATTGTGGGGTCAAGGGCGGCCTGCAGCAGCACGAGGCCAGGGACCCTATCTGCTTCTTCTTCACAGGACCCTCAGCACCTAGCTGAGGGGTGGAGCAGGAGCGGGGAAACTGGCTCCAGGGCCAAATCCAGCCCACTGCCTGTTTTTACAGCAAAGTTCTCTTGGCGAGCAGGCACGCTATTTATTTACACATCGCCAAGGGCACCGGGTGCCACGGCAGAGTGGAGCCTTTGTGATAAGAGCTGTTGGGCCTGCCCGGTCCACTATGTGGGAACAGGGGGCTGGCCCTTGATGCAGAGCAGCTATTCAATACCCACTGTGCTAAAAGGATGGACTGGATTCGAAATTCAAGTTCAGATCCCTTTGGTCACCCTTGGAATAGGAGCCGGGGGAGGTGCCGGGCTGGAGATCTGGAGACTCACAGTTTGCGGGGGGTCTTTAGGAAAGAAAGGGGGTTGATCCGCCAGGCAGGACAGCACAAACTGCACCAGGACTAGCGTCAAACCCAGGTAGGTGGACAGGTGGCGGAAGGGGTCCTTCTGGAAGCCCTGTGGGAGAAAAGGCAGGGGCTCTGCAGAATCGGCCTGCTGAGGCTCATCAGGAGAGGAGCTGGGAGAGGGCACCCACCAGGGGAGGAAATGTTAAGGCAGAAGAGGGGGGGTCTGCTGCTGGATCATGGCCACGGTGGGGTCTCTGGCTCTACAAACCCGTCTGCCGGCATTCTTGGCCATCTGGACTGACCAACCCACATGCTGTTTGTCCACATGGTCAGCTAAGGCCACGCCTGGGATTTGCCCAGAGATACCTGGACGTGCGTTGAAGGGACACTTGGCCTTTCTCCGTGTGCCACCAAGGAAGCCCTTCTTCCATTCCAGCCCTGCCCTAGGCTCCCAATCTCCATCCCACCGTGGCCAGTCGTCTCTGGTTTATGGACAAGGATGTGCTGGTCGGATGGAGCAATGACTCTGCTTTGGAGCATGTCCCAGGGTCCTTCCATGCACTGACCCATCAAGTCCTAGCCCCCAGCCCCACCCTGGGGCTTTATGCTCCTGTGCCCTATGGGGCACAGGAGGCTCACGGGGACCTGACCCCACTCCAAGGGCGGTAGGTGACCCAGGCTTTGCCCACAAGTAGATTCTAAATCCCTGGCAAATGCGATTGGCTTAGGAATGGACATAGGATATCACGCTGGCCAATAAGAGCTGGCACCATCAGGAGATCCTTCCACCAGGTGAGCTGCATCGGTAGAGCACACATCTGAAGCTACTCTTGCACCTTCTTGTGTCATCGGACAGTGAAACTGACAGAAAAGGTGAGCCAAGAGACAGAGAGAGCTGGCCACACAAGGCCTGGTGCCATTTCGACACGGGGATCCAGCTATGCCCCAAGATCCCCCTGGAGATCCCACACGTAGGCGCAAATAAAGGCCCTTATTCGTTCCTTTGCTTGGGCTACTGTGAACTAGGTGTTTGTCGCTTGAAACAATTGTACGGGAATCTGTGCCTGGGAGATGTGCGAAGGGAGGCAGTGAGTGTGTATTTGGTGCGGTTGTGACGATGACTGGGTGTGCCTGTACATGTGAAAAATGTGCAAGATGATGGGACCTTGTGATAGTTCACTGTGTGTGTCAACTTGGCTCGGCTCTGGTGCCTGGCGCTTGGCCAAACACTAGTCTAGATGTTGCTGTGAAAGTACTTCGATAGGAGTCACATTGACACTCAGTTGACTTTTGGCAAAGTTGATGACCTTCCGTGTGTGCGGGACTCTCATCCAGCCAGCTGAAGCCTTGTAGAGCAAACCTAAGGTTTCTGCAGGGAGGATGCGGTCTCAAGACTGTAACCTAGACAACCTGGTACGGTAGCAATCAGAATTTTTCAGACCCCAAGAGTACAAGAAGTATTTCCTTAAAATCCCTCTCTCTCTTACTGCACGCGCACATCTCCAGCATCCCCATGTGGTGTAAACAGTTACACTTGCCAACTCACTGAAGACTTGCCCGTTTTGAACCCCCTCAGAGGCACCTTGGCACCTAGGCCTGGGGAACCTACTTTCAAAAGGTCTGAATTCCTGAAAACCCTTCGTGGGGAGCTCCGTTCTCAGCAGAAACACACACAGGGCTGCCAGAGATGGATTCCATTGGTTGACCTTGGACTCGGCTTTGGGCTTGATACACAGCTCCTGCTGCCTGGATCTCTGGAGAACCTTGGTCAATTCATGCAGTTATAGGCGAGGGAGTACCCTGGCGAGTCCCAGCGTGAAGGAGACTATAGTGTGTATGTAGAGAATAAATTGTGTGTGGGAAGAAAGGGAGAGGTGGCAGGACCCGAGGCCTGAACCCACCATCTTGGCTGCCCCAGGTGGCCTAGGCTCCCCACTTACCCCTCGCAAGGCCTGCTGGGCCACACTCAGGACCAACGAGAGGCAGCAGAGCAGCCAGTACCCGAACAGCACCCCAGAAGCCTGGACCCCCTTCTTCCTCTCCACGTGCATAATGAACAGGGCAAAACTCTGGACAAGAGAGCCAGGGGTGAGCCTTCCCCCTCACCCTCCCTACCCACCTCTGCCAGGGTGGGAACGCAGCCCCCCAACTCCCGCCCCTGGGAAAGCCGGGCTCCAAAGCAGCGGTTCTCAACCTTCCTCATGTCGTGACCCTTTCACAGTTCCTCATGTGGTGGTGACCCCCCAACCATAAAATTATTTTCGTTGCTACTTCATCACGTCATTTCGCTACTGTTATGAATCGGGCGACCCCTGTGAAAGGGTCGTTCGACCCCCAAAGGGGTTGTGACCCACAGGATGAGAACCGCTGCTCTAGACGGAAGACGGCCTTACTGTGGTGGTGAGCCAGACAGTGGGGTGAATTAGGAATTCCGGGGCCTGGGGTGTTCCCTGCTGGATTTTCCAAAGTGAGGCAGCCACACTGGAGACCCCCAGGACTATCAGGATGGAGCCGAGCCCCTGTGGAGAGAGGCTCAGGTAAGACAGCTGCGTACAAAGGCAGGTGGTGGCAGTTTGTGGGCGGGGCCCCAGGTGAGGAAAGCCTCAGAAATGCACCCAAGAGCTTATTTCAGGCAGAGCCAGGGCCCTTGCCAACTCATTGGCTCCCAAGATGCAGGAGAGCCTCAGTGGGCCTGGGCGAGGCGGCTGCAGGCATGAGAATCAGCCTGAGACGAAGCTACTCAGAGTGAAAGGTCGGTCACTCCTTTCCAGTCAGGAGCAAGTCTCCTTGGGACTAGTAGCCTTTAAATGCCTCTTGGAAATTCTGATCTTTCTTCTGAATGAAAAAGGGCGTGGAGGGGAGAGAGAAACCCTGCTGGGGGTGGGGGAGTAAAGCCAGAGCAAGGTGAGAACTAGACCAAAGCCACAGTCATGAGTCAATCCGGGCTCCCGGCAACCCTACCGAGGATTTGTGAGGCTGTAAATCTTTACGGGACCAGAGAGCCTCAACTTTCTCTCAAGAGACTGCTGGTGGATTTGAACCGATCGCAGACCTTTCGGTTAGCAGCCCGATGCCTAACTCACAGCGCCACTAGGGTTCCTTAGGCACCGGGCAGAACTGATCTTTTTCAAGTGTCAAAGCGTGCTGGTGGCACATTGGTTGAAGCCCTCGGCTGCTAACTGAAGATGTGGCCGTCCTGCTTCCTACAAGGCTGGTGACTTTGGAAACCCTGAGGGGACAATTCTACTCTGTCCTGTAGGGCCTGCTGTGAGTCAGAATGGCCTGTCTCTGGGTTAAGTACTTGGCTACTAAACGGAAAGGCTGACAGTTCAAATCCTCCCAGAGGTGCCTCGAGAGAAAAGCCTGGTTCCAGCCTTGACAAGCCCCGGGAGGACAGTTCTAATCAGACACACGAGAGGTCACCGAGGGTCCTGGTCAATGTCAGTGTCAACTGGCTTATTTGTTTTTCCGGAGAGTTTAAAGCAGGAATTGCCAACTGCCACCCACTGACCCCATCTGGCCAGTCACCTGCTTCTGTATGAACTGTGGGCCAAGGACAGTGGTGACTTTTAACAAACAGTGGTGGGGGGGGCACTAAAAACAAAGCTAGAGATGTCAAGGAGCTCTGGTGGCACAGTGGGTTATGTGCTGGGCTGCTAACTGCAAAGTTAGCAGTTTGAAGCCACCAGCCCGCTCCGCAGGAGAAAGTGAGGCTTTCTACTGCCCACAGAGAGTTACAGTCTCATAAACCTACGGGGGCCAGTTCTACTCTGTCTTTTAGGGTCACTAAGAGCAGACAATGGACTGGAGGGCAGGGAGGTTGGCTTTGGTTAGATAATGTGTCAGGACACGTGGAAATGGCATGACATTCCAGTTTCAGTGTCCCTAGGTGAAGTTTTATCGGCACAAAGCCACGCAGAGGTGAGTGCCCGCTGTTGAGAACTGCCGGCTCACTAGGTCTCAAATATCTACTCCCTAGCCCTGCAAGGAAGGCGCCCCCAAGGGCTCAGTGGTTCAGGTGGTCGGCTGCTGAACTTCCCAGGTCATGCTTTGACACCCCCCCACCCCCACCCCCCCCCCTGCCACTCGAGGGGAGAGAGATGTTTTCGAAAGGTTGCCAACCGCTTGGTAAGTGGTAGGTAATAAAGCAGGATAAACTGGGGTGTAGGAATGCATGGACGCCTGAGGAATGGCAGACCTTTGGAGAAGGGCCCGCACGAGGAGCAGGCTCCGGCTTAGGAGGCCCGGGACTTTCTAAGATGTTAACACAGATGGTAACACAGACACCCCGGGACTTCCCAAGATCTAACACAGACGTGTGTTGTGCTTGCGGAGTGCAGTCGAGAAGTCCATTCCGACTCATGTGAATGGCAGACCGGCTCCATCGCTTTCCTGGCTGCCATCCTCACGGGAGCCGGTGGCCGGCCGGTGGGTGGGTTTGCACCGGTGACTCTTTGGTTAGCAGCCAATGCTTCACCACTGTGGCACCAAAGTGCTCTTAAAGGACCCGTGGGACAATTTAAATCATAGTTCTGCAGCGTGCTGCTGGAGGGGAAGCATGAAACGAAACACCTAGTTGTTAAAAAGGTGTCAAAGGTTGACCCCAGGGCAACCTGCACACCACGTTGTGCAACCTAGGCGTGTGCACAGGCTGCATGTTGGGAGCTGCGAGCCACGCCGGCTTGTGTGCCTTGGGTACGGGCTGCATTTTCACAATCACCCAATCTGCCTGGGGGAGCTTTGCTCTATCACATATTCTCGGTCGTCCCTGGGGAATTGCTCTCTGGTTGGGTAACAGGGCCCCTTTGGGTCCCCACCCTGGCCTGCTCCTTGGCAGAAGGAGAATCTACTTTGGGTTTCCAGCCGTCCCATCTTTCCCACGGCCTGGCTACAAGGTCCCAGTGGTGACAACTACCATTTTGGTCTTGAAGAGAGGAGACATCCGGAGGTAGCCCCTGTCGTGGCGGTGGACGTAGACGAGGTAGATGGAACCGAGGATCCAGAGGTACATGGGGGGTACCCAGACCCCCAGTGTCCTCAGGAAGCAGAGGTTCAGCAGGGGAGCATTGGTGGGCTCGGGCTCCGTCTGGTTCCAGACCTGAGAGAATGGCAAGGGAGCTTTACAAAGTAGGTCACGTGCTCACCTGTCCAGGGGCCAGGCAACTTTTGGACGCTACGTATTCACACGGCAGTGTGCACTGAAGTAGATGCTGTTTTGATCCGAATTGTGCCTGTGAACCGTCTGAGGCCCAGAGAGGGGAAGTGACATGTTCAACGACACTCAGCTGGAAAGTGGGGGTGCTGGGATTTGACCCCAGGCAGTCGGACTCTGATGAATGGATCCTTATGCCAACTCTAGGAGGGAAGAGCTACTGTGCCCATTTCACAGACAAGCAAACTGAGGCACAGAAATGAGAACCACCGCTTTTGAGGACCATGCCAATAGGAGGTGGCAGAGCTGACTTCCCGGCAGGACCCTCTGGCTCCCAAACCTGCTCTCACAGGGCTAGATGGCTTTGTGCCTCCCCCTCGGGCTGGCCCTCTCTGCCCTGGGGTGCACTTGACCTTGAAGCATTCTCTCTGCACTGTCCTAAGCTGCCCCCTGCATTCACTCCTCTGGGCTTTGCCACTCACAAGGTGTGTGACTTTCAACCACCCTGTGCCTCCGTTTCCTTCTTTGCAAAAAAGGGAGTTAATGAGAATCCCACTGCAGTCAAGTTGATTCTAAGAGACAGAGTAGGACTGCTTCCTGGGGTTCCCGCGGCTGTCAATCTTTATGGAAGCAGACGGCCTCACCTTTCTCCAGCAGAGTAGCTGGGGGTGGGGGTGGGTGGGGAGGTGTTAGATGCTTCACCCACTGTGCCACCAGGGCTCCTTAGAGAGAGATAAGGTTTGTATTCAGTGGGCCAACCCAGAATAGCTGCTGGGCACAAAAAGCCCTCAATGGATACTTACTTGACTCTTAACCCTGAGGTTGGGTCATGCCTACCCAGAAGCACCTTGGAACCAAGGCCTGCCGAGCTGCCTCAGCAAGCCGCCAGAGCCTGACCCACAGGAGGCAACTGGACAGCAATGGATTTGGTTTGGGCTTATTGTAATTTATGTGCCCAGCTGGCCCCCCAACTCCTGTGAAGCAGATTCTCTTACTCTTCTCTTAGCTCCCCTCCACTCACAAGAGCCCTTTGCTTAGACCCTGGGATAGAGAGGAAGGAGTGTGGGTATGGGTGGGGGCAGTGGCCCTTGGGACAGAAGGGGTTCCCTGGGGGTGAGAGGGTGGGGGCTGGAGGGGAGACACTAGCTTTATGTAAATATGGGGTCGCTGCCCTTGGAAGAGGAGCCCTGATTACGCAGTGGGTTACCCTGGGGGCTGTTGACTGCAAGGTTGGCAGTTTGAAACGCACAGCCTCTCAGATCAGCCTTTCTACTCCCTCGAGAGTTACAGTCTCAGAAACCCGAAGGGGCCCAGTTCTACCCTCTCCTATGGCTTCGACTCAGTGGCAGTGTTTGGCTTGGTCTTTGAGTCCTTAGAAGCTCCTTAACCGGTGCTTGGCCAAAGGCCCTACCTCCTCTGTGATAGGGTGCGTTTGGTGCAAAGCGGTTGCCATGCTTTCCGGGCTGGGGATCCTCAGTCTCAGTGGCAGGGGTGGGGGGAGAAGGAGGGTGGGTGGGGTGGTGGCACTCACCCCAGGCCCTGTGCAGGGCTCACCAGGAACGGCCATCAGGCCCTGTCCTCCGTCTGTCCGTCGTCTGTCGACGGTCGGCCCCGAATGTCTGAATATGTTAATCCCTCGTCCTCGAACAGCCTCCGGGGCAGGGCTCCCCGCCCGGAAAGGGGCGGGGCCGGGTAGGCCCAGCTGGGATTATTCGAGTGAGGACCAAGAGACCCCGGGCAAGGTCCGGCCGTGCCGCCGGGGTGGGGCGAGTGCGCGTGAACTGGGGTGGAGTGGAGGCGGGGTGGGACGCCCTGGGAGGCCCCAGGAGGCACCTGGGAGCAAAGAAGACCTCCGGGCCTCCTTAAGCCCAGGGGTACTCTCCATTTCCTCCTCGCCTGGCAGCAAGTATCATCCCCCAAAGGTATCCGAGGAAGGAAGACGTTCATGTCAATCGGTTGCGCGGCAGGGAGCACTAGGCAGGAGAAGTCCTGGTTGCGATGGGTTCCTCTGAATCGGAATCGTCTTGGCTACCACGGGTCCTCTGGTCCAGAAAGCCAGGAAATCAGCTGGGTGAGCCAAGAACGGGACGCTGGCAGATAACACAATTCCTGGTTCCAACTCTCTGACAGCACTTGGCTGCGCGGCATAGAGCCAGGGCCTTTTCCTCCGTAAGCCCCACTTTTCCAGTCATGAAGCAGCCTCCCCCACCTCAATGGTCCCGTTCTGGCGAACGCAGACCACACAGACGCTTGCTGGT